TACAGTACATATCATCTCATTACATATAATTACATTAGGTGGGCTTCGCTTAAGGAGAGATGTGACATTCACTGGCACCAGTCCCTACTGGAAAATTAAAACCTCACCTTTCAGATTCTTCTTGGCTCTGAACATGAAGAGGCTGCTTTTAATTTCCTTTCTCCCGACTCCAGTAGGAAAAATACAAAACCCAATACACTTAAACCTTTTAGAAATGTGAGTTTTTGTTTTTTAAATCAGAGCACCTCTACTAGTTTCACTCCACTGTATTTTATTTCACATTTTAATTACCTTGTTTATCAGTCGAATATTTACTTCCTCCGCACAGTACAAAGACAGCCTGTTGGGTTAATTGGTGATTCTAATTTGGACGTGGGTGTAAAAATGAGCGCTGGCGACCTGTCCATGGTGTACCCAGTGCTCTCGGTTGGGATAGGCTCCAGCATCGGATAAGCAGAAACAAAAAAAGTGGATGGGTGGAATATTTATTTGCAATTTATTATGGTTACTCATATTAATTTGCATTTTAATTATCTTGTCTAACAGACCATGTTGAGTAAACGGAAAGTTTTCCGTGATTTTTATTTAACCAACTGTGATAATGCCTCTTCTCTTTGTGCTTTATCTCCTTTCTTTTCGTGTTGACAGATGTCACTGAACAAAAAAGGACTGTCCACACATGATTTCTTGAGATTGAATAAGGGTCGACTGGATAGATGAAAGTGTAATAACTTTAGTGATCCCTTAACTTTAACCGCAACTGTCATCATTGCAGTTTTCTCATTTGATTTATTAACAACCACACCTGTGAAATTAATGACCTACCCATCAAATTCACCTGCATCTTTTTGTTTAATTTGCATATTTAGTATGAAAATGCAAACAAAGATGATGAACCTAGTAAACATTTCTTGCTAAAAGTATATTAGCATAGTCACCATGACTGTATTGTCACCCTTGCATTAGCATTTATCTCAAGCACGCAGCCTCCTAAGGTCTCACAGTATTATGAGGGGTTTCACATTAAGTGTTTGTGTTATGGGAAAACTTACACTGAATGCTGATAGTTTCTGAATGCTGAACGTTTTTTGTTTACGCCCAAGCAGTAACAATGGCTCTTGAATTGCAAAATAAATGTGAAAATTGAAATGAAAAAGAGAGAATGTCAGTGGACAGCACGAGGGTGCGGGAGAGTGCGATAACAAATGAGGCACGATTCAGGACCGCGGGATGACATTGCTTGACTGCACAACATTTTCTCAAAGTGAATTTAATTGAACTCGGAATCCAAACTTCATTCTCCTCTGTGGCACTGTGTCTTTTCTTCTTCCTTATCAGGATGCTTGAATCCTGATTCCAGATGACTCATCTATTGACATGTTTGAAGAGACTTGCTTCAATCAAGCTCTCTGCATGCATGATCGACCAAGGGTGCTGAGAAAGCTGCTGGTGCCTGGGAACACGGCATCATTTGAAGATAATATAATGTAATCGTGGAATTGCTTTTCCTTTTTGTAACTTGCACAGGTGCTCCTCACAAAAGCATTTTTAACAGCTTTATTATTTAACTTGTGTCTATGTCTATGTGTAAACATACATGTATGTGCACAAAGTAACAGGAGAATAACGGGCATGTGAGCGATAACACTGGGCAAGCTTACTGGAAGCATTTCAAAGGTGTGTACTGTTCCCTCGGGGAAGGGGGAGTAGCTAATTACTACAGAGATTTCCCATTCTCCATCACTTATTAGTCATTTCCTCATTACAGGCAACCAGCCACTGAGAATAAAACCAACCAATGAGTCCTCCTCCTGTCCTTACTGCTTTTGCAGCACCTCCAGATAGACCTCCAAGTAATACCAGGGCGAGGGAAGCCCAGCTGAGTTTAAAGGCATTAAAAGTAATGTGATAACATGGAGGCAATGAGCTGCTTTCACTAAACAACAGCACCTTGTCCCAGGGTGCAAGCCTGTTGTTGATTTTATTGCCAGTGAATGTTAAGTGATGGTGAGTGTTCTTTAATTGTGGCCATAAATCAGTCGACCAGGCACAAAAAGGGCTGCAGAAGGGAGCCCGACAGTGAGAGAAGGAAAAGCCGTCTATACTGGACTCAGAGCCCACCTGAGGCTCAAAGCCATCCTGGACATTTAGTGGCCTTGATAAAAAGAGTTTTCATCACAATCAAACCCCTCCTTCGTTCATAAAACATGTGCAGATGACCTCCTGCCAGAGTCCTCGCCACATCCTGCATCTTTGTCCCTGAATCTGACAAAAATGAAGGTCTACGTCTCCCCACAAGTAGGTGTCACCATGGAAACAACCGTTATTCAGTGCTCTCAACAATAGCCGTTAAATGAAAGGAGCTGTCTGATGGAATTAAAGAGTAGGCTTAGTCCCTCTTTCCATGCAAGGTACTCACAGCATCGGCAAACCACACAAAGCAAATGTGTAGCTGATAGCCTAACCTACTTTTTACCAAGCACATCAGTATCGCTTTTTCTTTTCATCCTGCTTGTGTGGCAGCGTGAGGCGAGGAAATGTTTTGTGAGATGATCACTGGAATATATGAGTGGGATCAGAAGAAGCTAGATGACAAAAGAAACAGATTAATGCTGATTCGAGATTTGAACCATTCAGTAATTAATCGTTTATTTAATTACAATAAACCCCAGAGACATTTTCACTTAAATGATGAGATTTATTTACCTAACTGCAAGACAAAGAGCATAAACTACAGGAACAGAGGTTTGTGCAAATGCAGGCTTGCATATTAGCATATCATAAAATCCAAAGGAAGGACTGTACAGCACAGCGTAACAATAAAAGTATGCATGCAATAAATCCCCTTTTTCCCTTTAAAGAAATCAAATATTTACTAATGATGCATGGGATCCTTGTTGGCCATGGGGCCGGCAGTTACACCAGGTTCATATTACAGCTATGGACTGTAAACCCTACTCTGCTGAGCAGGGGAAAGATAGAGAGAAAGAGAGAGAGTGCATGGGAAATTTCCGATACAACGAGGAGGTGTAAAACCTATGACTTGTTAATTTTGTCTGACAATAGTGCAAGAATAGATAAGGGAGAATAAGTAGCTCAGTGAATTCCTCACAGCTTTTTTTTTTCAATCTGCAGAGCAAGATGGGCACATGCACTGCGGTCTTACTGCTTTAGTTAACTCTTGATTGCACCATTATGGTGCAGTAGATAAATTCTCATTAGAATAAGAATGCCGTTTATTTTATTTAAAAAAAAAAATGAATTAAGTTTGTTTAGCCTTGTTGATGCCTGGGTTCAGGGCAGTTCTTGCAAACAAGCACACAATTATTATTTCAGCATTCCATATTTGAATCATTGCAGTTAAAAGGAAATGGAAACAGAATAAGATCTTTAATTGATTTGAGTAAAGATTTCGAAGATTTGTTTGCGGAAAATCTGGTGAAGCATAGAAGACCCATCCATCACTGCTGTACAACCATCAAACACCCCTTGTAATTTAGATAAGCCATGAAGCATTGTTTATGATAAAAGCAAACTAAAGTTGCTTATAAGGGATAACATTTAGCCTGAATTCTGTGGTTAATTACTGATCATTTTTAAAATCCCATCTCATGCAAATGTTAAAGGTATAAGGGAATGAACCATTTGAGCCGGAGCAGCTTATAACCTGAGGCAGAGTCGCGTAAAGTGAGATACGGTAAGTTACAGGGGACAAAAAGCATATTGCCACGTTAAGGCACAAATCACAGAATGAACATGGATGTCTTCTAGTTATTAATAAGGGAGCTGGTTTGCCCTCAAGGAACAGAAATACTAGTTGATATCTGCACTTCCTGCCATATTTCATTAGAACAAGTGGCAGCTAAAGAATTGTGATAAAGTACAAAGCTTGCTTCATTGACAAAATCTCTTAAAAAATGCTTTTTGTTACAGTAATTATCCAAGAATGGCAACATTTTCTGTGCTGTAAATCATTTACAGGAGAATAATAAGGACTGTATTAAGATGCATGAACAGCAAAACAATTATTCATTATGCAGGAAAGTCAAAACTTCTGAATAAACAGCCAAAATTTTCAGATGCTGATTATTCCAGCCGAGAATTTCCTAATTTTTGCATTTATTCCTACCCCGCTGTAAACTGGTAACACGGAGCTACGCTTCAGCTGTGAGACGCAATTTCCTCCAGGATTATTTACATTCGAGTAACTGAGTACGGCTCTGAATCAAGGCCTGCTGAATCAATAGGTCTCATCCTGTGATCCACAGTGACAGAAGAATCCTCAATAGCTGATCATCAAAGTTCAAAAAGCAGCTGACAGCAGTGTTTAGGTGCTTTCATGGGAAGTCACTAATCTTTGTCTGGGGAAGGGTGGTTAAACTCTAGAGGACAAATCAAAGTCTGACTAGTATTTGTAGTTTGGAGTGGATATGTGTATGATGGAGTAGCTGTAAAGACTTCTTTTGGTTCCTGTACATTTATTGGCAGTGACAGAGTGGTTTCTTTCCAAGTGCATTTGTCACCATTCAGAATCATTCACAGTGCAAATGCATCATTGTAGATAAAATATACAAAGTAGAGGGTCAAATAAAGAACAGCCAAACCGTGTTAGAGTATAATTTGCACATTATCCAGCTTGACAGTCGTGGAGCGTTCATGTTATTTATTTTTACTGAAACTCACTACTGTATGATCACATTTTTAATAAGCAATGGTCATCAGATGATTAATGAGGAATTTAACACTTTCTGTGGGACTTAAACTTGTAATCATTAACCTCCTAAGACCCGAACTCTTCCACAGCATGTATTTTTAATTTCTCTTTGATATTTGGTCATTTTGGGGCCCGATGAATGTAAAAACAAAGAATTACCAGATTTTTTTTAACCTTATTTTTGTTTTTAAGAAAAATAAGAGCCAAATATGAGGATATTTGTTTAAAATTTTAATAGAACAGTAGCAGTATAATGTCCTCGCAAGTGGATATCAGGCCCTTGTAGAGCAAAATTCAGTATTTTGGTCTAAATAACCCAAAATGTGATGTCCACTTATGTGGACGCCAGGTCCTAGGAGGTTAACACTGTCATTAAAGCAAACCTTGCATATGCAACTGAATACCAAAGGAGAACACAATACTAAGCAAAATATAGGATTTCTTTAGTTCAGGGAGAGATTTCATTCAAAACGTAAAAATCTTTTGAATTAGTGTTGATCAATAAAAATATAATGCTGAGGTGAAATCTACATTCTTGGAAATAGTTACTTGATTAGGCAAAAGTTTTTGTTGTCAAGGTTATTTGTACACTTGAAAATTAATTAAATGCCAAGAGGACGCCTTTTGAAGGCGAAAAATGTCCTTCTTTCTGGTGCTGTTGACTGTTTGCACACTCTTTGAAAAATAATTGCCGGTAGCTTAAACACACAGTCTCTCTTTTCTTCTTTAGATTGCAATATCCACACAGGTATTCACAGTACAATAATAATATATATATATATATTTTTTAAAAACAGCAACTTGTTTTTCTGCTGCAAAGCGTTTCAGTTTAGAGACTGTGCTTTAAGCACTGTAGCATTAGTAATAAGGTCAAAACATGACAGCTTTTTCTGACTGACACGGGTTACGGGCTACACTCTGAACAATATGAAGACAATCTGACAAAGCTCAGGCAGGATAAATAAAAATGAAGGTTACGTCTTTTATATACTGAACATTGTGAAGCTCAATAGAACAGCAAAATCAAAGGTCTCCATCCAGTAAACGGGAAACCTTCAGGCAAGAGTTAGATGGAAGTGAAATAAAGAACATTTTATCATGGATCGACGTTTTTCTTTTTTTATTATTATGAAACGCTGAAGAAAATGGAAATTTGGTGACCAGTCATACTATTGTTTTAGATTGATCTATCTGATGTAAATGTAATGGATATATTAAGTTGTGCATAACAGCGCTAATGGTTCACTTGTGCTTTCATTTCTTGTCTTTCTCACCCATTAAATCTATCATCAAACATCAAGTAGACTTATATTTCATATAAAAGGCAGCACAAAAAAGGAACGGAAATATATCTATAAAAAGAAGTCACTGCAGAAATTACAACCTGCATGGTTTAGAGATGACAACAAACAAAGATGGACAATTCAGAGGGAAAGGATTCACCCGACAAAAAGCATGACTTTCACAGCTTACATTGTAGCCACTAGACAAGAGACCAAAAATAGGGCGCAGTCATCGATTAGCTCTTTGAGAGTATGTTACTCGAGCTTTGCTCACGGATACCCTCAGAAAAGGCAGCGCCTTACAACCTTTCGCTACTACACAACCACCCAAACACATCTTATGTTCCTGTCTTGCTCTGTCTTTTCGGCTCCCTGTTACAACTGAAAAAGCACACCAAGAGCTGAAGCTGTAGCAAATATTGCAGATTGCTGAAGTTATTATGTCGCTTGCAGTTTCACAGAAGTTCAAGATGAACAAGTCTGGCATGAGAGCGCTCAACAAAGATATTTCCATTGCTGCTGTTTTTTCATCAGGTTTTCTTGGAAAATGGTTCAGAGCTGTTATTTAGACGCTTATTTTACACAGGATACATACATTTGGCAACCTGTACAGTCCAACTGTCAATCACACATGGCACTAATTGTTTTTGTTTGCCAAGAAGTAGTAGTGCCAGTTCTTGCATTTGCAATGAGGGCTGCTCTTGATTTGTTGATTATGGTTGCTGCCTTTTGGAAGAAAAAAAAAAAGCTTTTAAGCCTTAGCAACCGTTTTCATTTATTCCAATGTCAGGTCATGGGTTGTTTGGCCAATTCTGCAGACAGATTTTGATTTGCAGGGCAAATTGTTTATTCGTTATTAACTATTTTAAACCATCCACACGTCCATGCTTAAGTTAAAACAATCAAATTGCGATGAAATCATCTGGTATAGTACCTCTCCAAAACAATATCTGAACACACTGTATGTATAAGGGGAAAAAGCTGAACTTCATGGGCAACAAAGAATATTAAGCCTGCCGCGATCAGTAGATCGTCACTAAGGGATTTGTCTGCATGCATAAAAATCATGGGGGAAAAAAAATCCTCCAGGACTCCTGATGCTGAAACAGCTGGATGGTCGATTTGCACAGTCAGAGACGAGTGCTCAATCCGCACTGAGCGCAGAAATATAACCCACAATCTCTGTAGTACCGTCCTTGTGTAAACACTTTGCTTGTTTTGAAAAATGAAATACACGAGCGACAACACATTTAGAAGGTTTTTTTTCTCCAGTTTATGTCCAAAGTGAGACAAGCATCCTTCTCAGTTTGCCAGACTGATGCTGTGGTCAAAGCTTGGTCGCGGGAACAGGGTGTGCAGTTATTCTGTTGGAGTGGTGGCAACTGGGCTGAGGATGGGAGTCGATAAGTCCCTCATAGGACTCATAGGAGAGATGGCCTTGTGGCTGAAGTACTCTACTACTTGGCTGGGCACCTCTGCCAGAACACATTTGGCCAGGGCGGCAGGTGATGCCTGCAACAAAGTTAGAGAACAGCTGGAGTTGTTAAGACAATTGTTAAATATTGTTTTAATCTGTGATAAGGAACATAAAGGTTATAAGGTTTCTCATCTACATCTAGAGCCTCTGGTGGCAATAATGATGTTCTTTGTTTCAGACAAATTTTTAAAAGTACGTCAGAGTAAGACACTCTATTAGATGGCACCTGTTGTGTGCATTACTCTGTACAAAGTCTGTTCTGTCTAACTCCCAGGAGTTACATAAACCAAAATAATAAGTCCTGCAGTGTTTGTTTTACAGTATTGCCACTGGTTTGTGTTTTTCTTACTATGAAGGGGCAATCTACAGTTGCACAGTAGCATAAAGTTATACATATACATTACAGCAACATAAATGTGGCAACATATCTTATAATTCATTTTCAACTTAAGTGACTTGCATGAACTGAAAAACTAACCTAATATGCAGTAAGTAAATTAAAATGAATCTGATTCATCAGAAGTGGCCAGAACAGCTTTAGTTCTTCTTGCATTGAATGTCCGAATCTCTGTAATTCCAGCAAAGCAATGAACACTATTACTTTGAAATGTGTTCACTGATATGGCGTTTTGATGGTTGTGGCTGAATTAGCTGATGTGTACTATCAGATGAGTGCAGAGTCAGGAAAAGATTTTATTTAGTTTATGCATTAACTCGTTATTCCGTGTATTCTGTGCATACTTTCAGAAAATAGGGAGACATGAACAAGAATCTATAACAGACGGTGCAATTATACATCGGAAAAATTACTAATTGGATGTAACAACATTAAGAAAACGTTCTCGTGTGTGCACATATCTGGATTTCCTCCAGTCCATGATGGCCATCTGTAGCAGTTGAAAAACCAGCAAAAGCTGCCTGCTTATTCTTTTAAATGACAAAGGCTTAATAAAATGATAATAATAATTATGTTTGAGAGCATCCCATGCACAGCAGTCACACAGAGTGGGATTGCAAGGAATCCTGAACAAGTCAACAAAAGCAGACAGATGGAGAGAAGGACTGACCGTTTTGAAGTCTCTGAAGGGCACAAACTGCACAATGTCTCTGAGGACCGGCTCGCCCTTCGGTGAGCGTAGGACTCCATCGTCTCCATCCAAAATTTGCATGTCTGTGAAGTCAGCATTGCCCACACCAACAATGATTATGGAGAGAGGCTGGTAGGAGGCTCGTACAATGGCTTCACGTGTGTCTGCCATGTCAGTCACTACACCATCCGTGAGGATGAGCAGGATGTGGTATCGCTGGAAGAAGATAAAACCTTTCAGTGTGAATTAATCCATGCTAACGTTAACCCATTTCAACCGCAACACGTGGTTCTAAGCTCAGTGTGCGCTGTCATCTGAAGGAGGCCTTTCATGCTGTTCTGGATCATTTTACAGCCTCTGCTGAGTAGAAAAGATTATGTGTTTGTGTCAGTTAGTCAGAAATGTTACATAGAAAACAACAGAGACCAAAACAAATAATCAAAAAAAAAAGGAGCATAAGATAAAGAACAACTAGATCACAAGCAGGGACACCACATGTGTGTCCGTGTGCGCAAAATTAATTTCAAGTGTGTAATTACGTGAGCAGCATGGACCCAGGATATTAACACGGAACAATGTACTGTAAACACTTCGGATTGGTCCAATGAGTCGAAGTTTGTTTGCTGTTACTGTTCAAAAGGCAGACTGACATTTAGGAATAAATTATAATGAAGGTCAGTGCAATCACAGTATGTGTAATAGTTCAGAACACAATGTCTGTGCAGGTGGTAAATCAAAATCCTGAGTCTTTACTCTCAGCATTAGGAAACATGAACAGCAAGTAACTCTATTAGACACACTTTAACCACTGTACAAAAAAGGAAATGATATCAAAATATGTTGAATGAAACATTGTCAATACAGCTCTGTATGATTTAAAAAGTACTACTTGTTTTATAATGGGCTCCTACTTCTTTTGGACCAAAGGAAATTACTACTATTAGCAATGCTGTCTTGAGGAATTTCACTGGGAGGCAAAAAGAAACCCCAGGAAAAACAAAAAGGCCGTATAAAATAAAGAACCAAATATTTCTGAGGAAAAAAAGAGTAAAAATGTGCACTCACAGAAGCATCTTTAATGTTGCCGTCACCTGCCGCCACCTTGGCTAGCCTGTTAATGATCGGAGCAACGTTGGTAGGGCCGTACAACTGGATCTTAGGAAGGCAGTTCTGGTATGCCTCAACCACTCCTTGGATCTCTGATCAAAGCGAGAGCGGATTGAAGCAAACATCATCACAGTTACCTACACCTGTCAGTTAACAAGTCCAGGCTGAAGTGTACAGTCAGATGACTCAAATGCTGAATACTAACAAACTTGGCCTGAATAATTTTTGTTGTTGTTTTTCACAATTTGAAGACGGATACTTTAGGTTTCAACCAATCAGTTATGAAATCCATGAATATTATCACATTAAAACACTAACTTTTAAGTACGTACAAAATTACAGAGAGACAAATGCAGAAATGGTTGCATTATTATTTTACCGGTGGTGTAGATGCTCTTTCTCCTACTATCAGTGGAGGTAAACAAAGTCCTTCAACCTACCTTCACATTCATCATCCTCTGGGTTGAAATTAATGGCAAAGTCATGGGACACCTGTGAGTGGGGAACGAGAGGACAAAGTGTGAAAGGCTTCCAATTTAGGATTTGGTGATAAAAATCGAACCTTTTTTTACTTCCATGTTTTGTTTTTTATTGCAATTCTGTTAAAAATATGTTAGGTGAATACAAACATTTGATCTAAATAGAATCAAAAAGAGCAGTTGACCAAAACTGAAGACAAGATTTCTGTGTGCTCATGTTATTCCAGTAAAAATGACAGTTTTTCAAATCGACCGACTGGCTGACTGGACTGGACTGGGAAACACACATGTGGCTTAGACAATGACAAGACAACAAACTGGAGGAAACTAAGGAGTTAAATACCCGGGACGAGGATGACGATGATTAGAAACAGGTGAGTACATGGCTAAACTAAATCTAACTAATGACACAGGAAGTGAAACAAAACATAATGCACACAGTAAAACAGGAAACACATGGAAAAGTCATATAAGGTAAACACAAGACAGCAGGATAATAAGACACAGGGTAAATAGTGACTCACATCGTGTGGTTATCCAACAAGAGGATTTTGGGGGGGGGGTGTTTGTTTTTTTTTAACTAATCAAGGGGAAATACTGCATTTTCTAACATTAGTCAAAGGCAAACTAGATCAGAAACTGGTGGTAAACAGACAACAACATCAAGAGTTTTGATTAATATCAAATATTGCCGAAATTTGACACGTGTTGTTTTTTAACGAGGCTTGCGTATGTCCCATAATGGTGCAGTCTATCTATGCTATTTGTATACATATCCCAAACCAATTATTCGTCACACTATACAGTAATGCATAAAGCATGTATTACGTGCTTAATATCTGTTTTTTTAAACAGGTTTTGCACCCACTCTTCTTTTAAATGTTTTTTTTCCCTGCAATCCAAATGTCAGATACATTTTGTTTATCTCAAAGCTGTTTAATTGGCAAAAATAAAATCCCCCTCTCAATCCATCCTCTCACAAGAAACTGTTTTTTTTTTTCCCACAGGCACCAACTGTCAGCCAGATCAGTGACAACTGACTCTTCTCCAGCTGGCTACTTTTTTTTTAACGTCACTTTTGTAAATCACGTCTATAACGTGATTTACAGCCTGAAGTGAGTCACAGTGTAGAGTGTTTAACAACAGACTTTCTCACATGACGCAGCAGTACAACACCCAAGTGTAACATTAATGGCATTATAATGTCTAATAATGCTATTAACAGCCGTCTCCCTTTTAAATGGTCCATTTGTGTGCCTCTGATTGTGCCTCTGGCTCACATATAGCTTTCAGAGACACTTAGATGGAACAGAGCATTTTTAGGCACTGGTAATATTATTAGTTTCATTTGTGCTATTCCAACTGTTGTATGACAGTCAGACATTAATATTACAATCTTAAAGAAACTGCAGTGTTCGTAACATATTTTTTTTTTGTTCCTTTGATCGTATAAAATCCTGCACTAGTTGTTGTGAATGTGCCTCTGTGGTCAGGAGATTATTTGCATGAATATGTGCCACACTCACTCCTGAGCAGTTTGCATTCAGCAGGTGGCTCTAATGGCAGTCACAATCAAGCTAAAAATCAAGGATACTTTCCAGCCACCTGGGAAGCACATAAGAGGTCACTTGGAAGCAAACAACCGGCCCAAGACCAGATGCAAATGAAGATCGTGGTTGTCTGAAAGGCAAGGCGACGTACGTACAAAAACAATCCTAATTTCATTATTGACTAAACCTCTGGAAGTTTTTTTTCTTTTGTATTTAAGATTTAAATAACACACATTTAATCACAATTATCAACAGTTACAGCCAAGAAAGGCTTCATAGTAAAATGAAAAAGGTCAAAGATTTTGCAATGAAATGTGTAGAAATAATACAAACTTTGCCCCTCCTTCCAACAGCATCTGTTTATATATGGAGCGATTCTTTTACATAATATGACTCCATTAAGATTTGAAATTTTACAACTCAACTACTTGTTACTTGTTTTGTATTATTTGTGTTGTGTTAGAAAAAAGGGTCTTCTGTAAATCATAGTATGAGTCATAGAAATCATATGAGACATGTAACAAATAAAGAAATTCATTTTCACTATTTATTCGTTTTTATTCATTAATTCCCACAGCTCATACTGTATGTGATAGATCTTTAGCATTAAATTAACATCTTTAATACTTATGCATAATGCATAATAAATGATACCACGGTCAGTAGAGCCCTCGCACTTCTGGCACCTAGTGCAGTCTCTAACCTATGAGTCCACAGATGCACTTTATGATTTATCTAATAGCTTAATTTACATTCACCTGCGCCACCAGCGACAATAGATCAACAGGACACGGTTAAATAAAATTGGCTCCTGTGAGGAAATCACTGCTATGGCAAATTCAGAAATTAATAGTTTGCATTATTGAGCTGCAAAGCTGAGCATGATTAAATGATAATTATGAGTGTTTCCTACTGAAGAATAGCACATTACAATCTTACATTAAACACAGGCCCTTCTGGTCTGATAGACTGTCTGAGCATGGTGTTTCGTACGTGTGTGTGTGTGTGTGTGTGTGTGCTCACTGTTCACATGACAGACATCTCCCAGGGGCTCTATTCAGAATCACCGAGGGCATTCGGTTCCCAAAGTCTAATTTGCTTAAACAAATGCTCTCACACTCATGAATTCTTATGTAAATTGAGCATCAACACTCTGGGGCTTCTGTGTCATTGTAACGTGATATTTTCTCGAGACAAGTGGATATTTTAAGACGAGGGGCTTATGAATAAAAATACCCTCGGTAATTAGTTTTAAATGTGAAATTTTGAATGACAAATTGTGTCCTGGAACAGGTCATGAAAACTGGCTCGCGTAACGTAAAATCCCAGATTAGTGGAAAATACCAGGTTTCGGTAAGAGCACACTTCTATACAGCACACATCATTATCACTGGAAGAAGCACAGTGTTTAGAACAGAGGAGTAAAAAGGGAGAACAGAGATGCAAACAAAAAATACTCACCTCATAATTCGGAGGGATTCTAGCGCCGAACCCCAAAGCTGAAAATCGCTTGTCACTGAAACCATAAGCAAATTAATCAGTTACAAATTAAAGCAACTGCATTTTAATCTGTGGTTGCCTTTTGATTGCAATCTGGAAAATATTGATGGCTTATCCATCTGTTTGTATTTCTGAGGGCATACCTCATGCTTGTTTGCATTTTAGAACGTGTTAAAAGCTTGAATTACAATTTGAAATCTGTCCCACTGTCAGTGCAGACAGCATTTGCACCTGTTCATAGAGCTTCTAACGATTTTTAGCCTCTTCATTTTTCACCGTACCATTTAGATGGGAAGATATTACTTCAAAAGTCTGTTAAGCTGGATTCGCTGCCTCCAGTCAGAGGCCAGGGTGCACAGTTTGTATGAATAACAAGATAGTACACTCCAGATAAAGTGTATTATATTTGCCCACTACAATTTTATTTGCGTGTCTGAATTCTAAGTATGGATATCCTTTATGAAATGAAAAAGCAACGTCCTGTTCAGCTTTAAAGTAAACTTGAACCTGACCCTGAACCCCACACCTTCTCAGCTGTAGACAGCAAGTGTTTGCAGCACACTAATGGGATTCAGTGCCTGTAACTCCACTGCACAGCAATGCTGGAAAGTTACTCACAGTTACACAGTACCTGTGTGGAATATCTTCCTCTAGCATTCACTCAGACATTCAAACATGAAATGCACAACAAATGCACACTACCTACAATACAAGACATGATTTTTATATCTTCATGACATATTTTCTTGTTGTCCTGTTTCCATTTTTGCTCTTTTGATTTGATCTGTTTTGAAAGGCATGGGTTTAACCAGTCGGGATAGGTGCAAAAGACACATTTGGGTTGCATTATGGAAACTGAAGGATATTGTTGTGGTCACTCACTTTCTGTTACACACCATTAGAGCATCCTGTTCATTAGCTTTATTGAAAAAAAAACTACTGTATATGCAGTATAAAATTACATACAGTAATGCCTGTAAAGTAATCTAATGTATTCCTGCAAACAAAAAGTATTTAAAGTAATATCTTGGGAATTTCTGGGCATTTAGAGTAAGCACTGGAGCTGTCATGACTTGTTTTCAGTCACATCAGGGACTCTTTGCCTACAGACAGCTTTGTCTAATGGCCGCTTCTGTTATCAGGACATTTGTCGATTTCATGCCTTCATCACTGACAAGCCAACCCAGCTCCGTGCAATCGCAAACAACATCTTCAGCTCTTCGTTTGGGGTTGAACAAACATTTTGAGATCATGTCTTTTATTCATTTATTCTGGACATGGTGTGGGTGCCTCAGAGGGTGGCCAGCAAACTGCACAGTGTTAGGAAGTTGTTGTGTTATTTGGTGCATGGACAAGTGTTGATTGGAGAGCTGTTTATCCACTTATAGTGGCTAATGTGGCTTTGAGGCAGCTTTTCAGAGCTATCAGAAGTGTTTGATTAACTCTGGTGTTTGTGGACTTACATAAACACTGGCACAGAGATGATTTTCACACTTTCAGAGGGAGCAATAACTCTTAACTGCCTGATAACTATTGAAAAAAGTAACTTTGGCTTGACAAGTTTTAGTTGTACTGCAATTAGTAGTAGCTGTACCAGCAGGATTATTATTTTACTACCACGGAAATGACTGGTTATAAGGGCCTGAGCAGTAACAGTGGGAAGGCCCCATTGTATTTGCTCCATTCATTATTATCTATGAAGTAATGAAGCCTAAAAGTACTCAAAATTAGCACATGTGTAAAGTCTGGTGAAAAGTTACATATTTTATGGTTTCGAAATAGTTTTGCTCTATAGCGCCACCTAACACATCTTTAATGAAGTACTACCAACACATAGTTCGAGCTACTTGAATGAAGTTTGTTACACACGAGTGGGGCCCACTCATGGAAACCCAACAGGAAGTCCACCAGGCCTGGTGGACTTCCTGTTGGGTTTCCAAGTTCATACTTTTTTGAACTTTTGACTTTGTCCAATCAACTTCCTATTTGGCCAGTTTAAACTTCAGATGCAGCCTATATTAAAGTGTGGCGCTTTTGAATTGTTGTTGAAGGGCATGTTGGCAAATTCCAATAACTTGCCATGAACTTTTGATTGTAGTATTCCTCTCAGGCTGATTGCATTCACCTTAAAACCAATGTGGTGATGCATGCCATGGCTATTCTGCATGAAAGAGGAAATTGTTGTTGAAGTGCTTGGCAAGCTTGAAAAGTCAAGACATTTGTCCCACTTCTCAAGCCTAATGACAGCTTCCTTGGTTTTTCTGGGGGGCTCTGATCACTGAATATGGTAAAACGGCTCCACAGCACCACCTACAACATTTCAAAAAATCATCCCCTGCACTGCATTTCATCTATCTGTTTGAAATTTGGCAGTCTAGTGCAGTGTCCTGAGATCTCTTGGAACCATAACCAAAATCCAACAGGAACTCAGCCATTTTGGATTTAAAGTGTAATTTCAGTGCAATTTTTTTTTTTTTTTTTGCCATTTTCAGGCCTTGTACATTAAAAAACTCCTGCTAAAGATATTTTCAGACATGATCTTTGGTGAGTCCAATCTAAAGACCTTAGTAACGTTAAATTGCAAAGCTTTTGAATTTTCGCAAAAGGGCATGTCTGTTGTGACGCGCCAAATGTATTCGCCACAGGAAACACCAGAAACTCAGTTGGGACCCACACCCAGTTCCACACCTTGGCTCAGGCGATTAGAGGATCATCAGGGGGTCCTTTTGTCCCTCTGTGGGGGGACACTCCCACTAGGTTTATATCTG